TAAAAAATTGTCTCCCCTTGGCCCCTCACTCTCTGTGTCTCTCAAACAGAAAGAACTAATTAAGGCAAAGCTAAGGGAATTGAATTCAAAGTTTGCATTGCTCATGTGACCTAATCTTTTTACAATGGCATCTTTTGCGATCCGTATAAGAATACATCTTTCTGTGAGCCGTGTAAGGATGCCATTCACACACTGTCTTTTCCAGAAAATCCTCCCAAGAAAAAGAAAAGAATGAAGAATTGTCTTGAATGTTCAATAAAGATTTCAGGAAATTGGGATCTATGCAGCTTTGCTTTTTTTATCATTTTGTTAACATGCAAAAATACTGTATAATAACTTAAGTTTGTTTCATTTGAAAGGCCTTAGCTGTTTTTCTATGTCAGAAAAAGAGAAGGAGGGGGACCTTTCAAAGAATAAGATTAAATTGTGGCATAAAAGTCTGTTAAGATGTAAAGAAATGTTGAATTAATGTAGTGGATTAGCAAACAGAGTAAGATGCCAAGAACTGGGATTCATGAATAAAGAAAATGAAGATATTGTGCATTTGGTTTTGTGATTTTTTACAGCTGAAATAAAACTGCTGCATGAGAGGGGGGGAGAGTGTGTTTCAGAGAATTTTCTTGGGTTCTAAAAAATTAATGAACTGGGATTAATATATAGGAAAAAGCAACTGCTTTCCAAAGAATAGGTATGTGAGTTTTCTTGAGCCAGAAAAGAATAATGCTGGACCCAGCCCTTTCAAAACACTTGGACTGAAATACAGCAGGCAAAGCTCCAAAGTGACTTAAGGGCTCTTGTCACAGATGAGCTTCAATGTGTTTCTGCTTAAATTAGTCTATAATGTGCATGAAAAACCTACGTTTGGTAAAATGTACGTTCTGTTAAAAAATGGCTTTGTTCCATTTTTCTTTTTTGGATTAACATGATCTGCATATATCATAGTATTAGAGAAGCAGGAAAAAAGCACATTTCAGTTCGTATGTGAAAATGGATACATTCCTTGCACTATTTTTCTTCAGATCTTTTCAAGCATATTAAGTGCAAGGAAGATGTTTTGAGGAAAGAGCAAGAAGTTAGTAAATGGGGCTCAGATTGCTAGTGTTTCCATCCTTAAATTATTTTCCTTCCAGATTTCTTCTTTGGTTTCTGTCATTTTGTTTAATTTGAGAATCAAACTGTCTATATGGAAATGTCATATTGCAGACTTCAAAACCACAATGTTCAAATGTATAAAATACATTTTTGGTCTGAATATATGACTACTAGAATTTTAATCTACGCTGTAACTTCAGTTACATATTTCTGAAAAAAAAAGCAATAACAGCTGTACTACTTAAAACTTTGGAAAAATCAGTTCTGTAAAAATATATTTCTGGGGGGGAAAATACAGCAATACATTTTGTTTTTCAATCATTAGGTACATAAACATACTGTAGCATTGGATATGGTCAGGTGGATTTGATATGAATTTGAGTTCCATGATGGATAGCATTTTCTATTTCATCTCTATCACGTCTACATCTTATGTTTTCTAGACTACGTCTTATGTTTTCTGTTATATCCACAATATGAGCCATTTTGATTCTGAATGTAACTTTCTTTTGCCTTATATGTTCACTTCTCAAATATATTTAGTTGGCCACTATTGGAAATAATTCATGTTCAATAGGAGACATTTTATATTTTTCTGTGTACTTGCATAAGAAATGGGATTCTGACAATATTAGCTTCTGCAAGTGTTAACAGTTAGCCAAAATTCACCAAAAGCATTACTTAAAAAAATAACTTCATTAAGTTTTTTAAAATAAAAAAATAATGGAAAACTAATAGTCAAGACAGAATAGAAGTCAAAATATATAGAAAAATGGCACATAGAAGTGCAATAAAATATAAAACAGAAATAAAAATGCAGACAAATAATAACTTTCAACTTCTTTACAGCAGGTATAAATAAAACTTGAATTCAAGTCTTGCTGTTACAATGTAACAGCCATTTTTGAATAAGCCATTCAAATGTAACAGCCATTTTTGAATAAGCTATAAATATTTTAATACCCAAATCCATATGATTATTTCATTTTTTCTACTTTATGCAAAAAGTCCAAAAAAGGCTTCAAATTGATATTAAATTTTGCTAACGTCTTTTGACTAATCAGAACAGTTAATTTTGCCATCTCTGCCTGCTTCATCAGAAATGACAAGCACTCTTCCATTGTAGGTATTTTCAAATCCTTCCATTGTTGGGCATATAGAAATCTTGATACCATTATCACATATAAGAACAAAATACTCTGTAATTTTCCATACTTTTTCCATTAAATTTCTCTAGTTTGAACTGTACAGTACCCTTCAAGTTTTTTTGAGTTAATATATGCATTTCAGTCCAATGATTTTTAGCTTTCAACTAAAAAAATCTCTTCTTGGTATAAAAAATAAAACCCTCTATGACCATTGGAAACAGCCAAAATTCACCTGCAACTTGAACACTATTTAATTATGTAATAATTAAAGCAAGAAGAAATCTTAAGGCTCTAGGGTTGTCTGTTTTATAAGTTACTTTAGCCCAATGAAAAACAAAATAAACAAAGGCAATATATTAACTTTTATGGATGTTGCACCAAACTTTGTAAAATTAGACTCCTTAAAGTGATTCCATAAATGGCTTTGTTAATAAAGTTGAAGTGACTTGCTCCTTTATAAATGTTGCAAGGAAATGCTGAGAAAATTTTGGAATAAAATCCCTAGAGAGGAATTTAAAGTTTCCCTTGATAGTGAAATTTACTTAATGTAAAACAATCAAGTGAAGATATGGCAAGATGAGAAACTGATAGGAAGAAAACTAAAAGTATATATTGATTGTTACAGAAGCACATTGATTAAAGACAAGTTAAGTCAGGAGAGGCAATATTGGTGCATTAGGGCATTAGTGACTCCAGATACCTCCCTTGAGGTCTGACATTTATTTATTTATTATATGACTTATATGGCTGCCTATCCCATATAATGACTCTTTGTGGCTGGTGATCTGAGTTGTTTTTTTTTTTTTAAAGAGTGGAAATAATGGATAATGGGCATGTTTCAGAACAAAGCACTAGCCTCTAGTGCTTCATGTTGATTTTCAGGAATACCTTTGAGCTCACTAAGGCTCCATCTTGGGAGGCTAATTACTTTATATTAAAAGGGTGACAAAATCAGCGGACCAGAGGAATGCTGTCGATATAATTTACTTGGACTTGAATAAGGCATTTGATAAAGTAGACCATAACCTACTACTAGATAAAGTAGAAAAATGTGGGTTAGACAGCATCACCACCAGATGGATTCGTAACTGGCTGACCAACTGCACTCAATGTGTAGTCCTCAATTGAACTGCATCTACATGGAGGGAAGTATGCAGTGGACTACCCCAAGGCTCTGTTTTAGGCCCAGTACTCTTCAACATCTTCATCTATGATTTGGATGAGGGGACAGATGGGGAGCTCATCAAATTTGCAGACGACATCAAGCTAGCAGGAATAGCCAACACTCTTGAAGATAGGCTTCAGATACAGAAGGATTTTGACAGACTTGAACATTGGTGCTATCTAACAAAATGAAATTCAATGGTGAAAAAAGTAAGGTTCTACATTTAGGCAAGAAAAACAAAATGCACAGGTACAGTGTATGTGGTACCTTGCTCAATAGTAGTAACTGTGAAAGGGATCTTGGAGTCCTAGTGGATAACCATTTAAATATGAGCCAGCAGTGTGCAGCATCTGACAAAAAAGCCAACATAGTTTAGGCTGCATAAACAAAGGGATAGAATCAATATCACATGAACTGTTAATAGCACTTTATAATGCCTTGGTAAGGCCACAGTTTGAATACTTCAGTTTTGATCACCACAATGTAAAAAAGATGTTTAGACTCTAGAAAGAGTGCAGAGAAGAGCAACAAAGATGATTAGGGGACTGGAGGCTAAAACATATGAAGAACGGTTGCAGGAACTGGATATGTCTAGTTTAATGAAAAGAAGGACTAGGGGAAACATGATAGCAGTCTTCCAATATCTCAGGGGCTGCCACAAAGAAGAGGGAGTCAAGCTATTCTCCAGAGCATCTGAGGGTATGACAAGAAGCAATGGGGGGAAACTAATCAAGGAGAGAAGCATCTTAGAACTAATGAGAAATTTCCCGACAGTTAGAACAATTAATCAGTGGAACAATTGCCTCCAGAAGTAGTCAATGCTTCAACACTGGAAGTTTTTAAGATGATGTTGGATAATCATTTGTCTGAAGTGATGTAGGGTTTCCTGCCTAAGCAAGCGGTTGGACTAGAAGACTTCCAAGGTCCCTTCCAACTCTGTTATTCTATTCTATATCAGGGTGTGAGTGACTGACTTACTCATATTTTTGTGCATCACAACTCTTTCATGACAGTCATTTCCTAGTCATGCCTATCACATTTAGTCAAAATTCAAGTTATGCTTTTGATTGAAAAAGGTCATTGATACCTGGACCAGATGGTAAAGTTAGAAACACTAAAGTGAGCTATAAATATTGGCAAACATCCACTCTTCTTTTGATCTTTGCCATTTATAAAAACCTTCCGGTAGCTTTCTCTGTTTTGAATGGATTTTAGTGTTGAATATTTTTCTATCTTTAATTTCTGCTTAATTAATTGCTTCAAATACACATTTGTGGGCCACTGTTCAAAACATTTTCTTCATTCTATGCAAGGAATGAAAAGAGATTCCTCCCCCCCCCAACCAGATTTCTACACATATAAGATTATAGGTGTAATTGTAAGCCTGCTTGTTAAAAAGGCTTTCATTGGATTTAAAATTGTATCTCCCAGTTGAGCAGCTTGCAATCAAGAACATGATAACTAGTTCATTACTTGGCTGGTTGAGCGGTAATTATTCATTTCCTTTTGAAAATGTCCATGGATCCTCATATGAATAAATAAAAGAACCATTTATTATCCAACTAATCTTTCTTTTCCCCTTTCCTCTCTCTAAGCATGCAAGATTGGATACCACAAAGCCTTCTCAACAGATGTTGCCTGTGCCAAGTGCCCACCTCACAGTTTCTCCATCTGGGAAGGTTCTACTTCTTGCACCTGTGATCCAGGCTTTTTCCGAGCAGAAAATGATGCTGCCTCCATGCCCTGTACTCGTAAGTCAGATGCCTTCATTTATTAAATTTCTTCTCTTTCTTTTTCTGCTGTTTCAATAATTTATACACAGAACATTCCCCAGAGATGAACATCTTCCTATGAACGATGTCTTGTTGGTGACAGGAACACTCAGTAACAATTCTCTTTTAAACGAGTCAACACAGCATGTCAGCACCAGGTTCTCTCTCCTGGCACACATCAGAAAATGAAGTTTTCAATTAAGTTACAATATGTAGGTCAACAGTGAGAACAGGAACTCCAGAATTTCCCTCCACTTTTTTTTTTTATGACTCCGGTACCTGTACTGTACAAGTGCCTCAAGGCTGCATAATGAGGAGCAATTGTAGGCTTGCAGATCTTACTTGAAACAGAAAATGGTGATGGTGGGGGGGAGATACTTGAAAAAAACAATCGTGTAAAAGTTGATTTGTAGTAGCTCTAAATTGGTTTTTGTCTGGCTGCTTAATCTGTCTAATGGGTAAAGTTAACACACTGTTTTAACGTAAGAGCTGATTCACTCAGTTACTTTTACACAGTAAAGTTGCTGCCTGTAGGGCAGGGGTACCTGAACAAGAACTATATGAATTACATCCCAAAAAGTACTCCCAAAACAGGTGAAGCTAGAAGTAAGAGACAACCAATAGAATAAATTAGTATAGCAAATAGACTAATTATTCTTATGTTACAATTATGTTAATTTCTTGGCATAGTAAGAATTAAAATTTGGTGGCAATCTCTGAATGTGCCACAAGCCTACAATAATTTAGGGATATCAGGAAATGCAGCTCATTATTGTTAACCTCTTTCTAGCATTAAAAAGATAATTATTATTTGCCTTATATAATTATACTCCTTGCCTGAGAAGGTAAGGGCGACGACAGATGGAGATTCGCTCCATATTTCAGAGTGGGAGCAAAGCGGCCCTGTACTTGCCTCTTCTTCCGGCCCTTGTTGGCGCTGCATGCACCTCGGTCGCTCGGGGTGATGCCTGACTTTCTTTCCACCCTGAGACACTGGCCTGGCCCAGCCTGGCTGCAGCTAACACAGGTGCTCTCGTCACCTTCATGGCCTGCTTGCTGCTCTTGCAGCGCCTTGCACAGCACACTTAAATTAAGTGTGCTTCACAATGGGGGAAACGGTGTCCCCTGCTCCTCCTGGAGCCCATTACAATGCAAAGCATTGGCTGCAGCCGGGCCAGGCCAGTGTCTTAGGGCGGAGAGCAAGTCGCACGTCTCCCTGACCAATCAATGCTCTGTCTCCGGAACAGAAGATACCTTCTCATTCTTCTCAGCACAACAGCCTTGACTTTCTAGAAAGAATTTTATTTTGACTACATATCCTCTTCACTTTATACAATCCTCCCTCCCATAGTAGAATTTTACCACAGTAGAATTTGTGGCAGGCCTGAAGCAGTCTCAAAGGTAGAAAGATGGCTTTAAGGGCTGATATGCGTGACTTCCTTACCTTCTCAGGCGAGGAATGACTGAGAGGGCGAAGGGTGGGGCCAGCCAGTGGTGGGATCCGGTTTGACAGGGAGCCACAGCAAGGGGCCCAAAGAACCGCATGCGGCTCCAGAGCCGCAGATTGCCAACACCCAGGCTAGACTATAGTTTTCATCTGTTTTCCATTTCAAAATCACCAAGAACTGTATCATCAGTTTTTAATAGTTATGATTTTAAGGTGTTTTAAGGGCTATAAAAAGATGACAGGTGCTAAATGTGGTTTAGTTTCTTACTCACTGATGGTGTCCACAGAAGAGATAAGAGGGAAGATAATGACAAGTGTATGGCAATCATCATGCAAATGATGCAAATTACATAGTTATGTGACACAGCTGGATGCAAGTATGCAGTGACAGAAATTTTATGATGCTGTGATTGGATTGAGTCATCCTATTGGTGACAATATTGTAAGCTGCATATACCATTGTTGTCTTCTTCTGGTCTGGGGCTTCAGAAAATCGACCTATTTCATTAGTGGTATAGATAAAAAGCCCTTATCTACTATCTGTAGGTTACAGGTAGTTACTAATGAAAGCTTTTTCAATTAGTAAGACCCTAATCCATATTGAGTTTTATATGTCATAAACTGCACCTTGCATTTGGCATAGAAGGATGCAAGAGTTTCTGCCTTGTTTTGAGCCACTTCAAAAATGCTAAATGAACAAATAATTAAGCTCTGTGTATCAAGAGCTGTAAAATCATAAATATTTTCCAAAATAGTTCTTTTTTGTTGAAAAGGTTAATAGGTGCTCCTGTATATAAAGTTCCTTTTCTCTGTAGATCAATGGCAAAGAAATTAACTCTCTAGAAATGGCTGAACTATAGTTCTTTGGTACTCTTATCACCTTGTGTTAGCTAACTCTCTGAAAATTCTTCACTATTATTTGGAGTAACAGACGTTCCCATTCCTAAAGTATACCCTTCCCCTCCTTTCTTTCTTTTTCACAGCCATAAAAGGTCTGTTCACACCAAGTTCAGTATCTCTGCTAGAATGAATTAAACCTAATACACATATGCATGTCTGCCTGCCTGCCTGATTGCTTTCCTGCCTTTAAAATCTCAGGGAGTAGAGCAAACTTTGAGGATACATGCTGAGTTGCAAGATAGAAGATTACATCTTAATTTGTCAAGAATGCTAGTAGCAAGCAAGAGCAGAGAAGTGGAACTTGGAGCATGCTCATGTCACAAGGGCAATGATTTCATTGTCCTTGGACTATTCAATTTATGAGCAAGAGCACTGATGCTGCAGTTCTGTATAACAAAATTCAGCTCATGTGTTAGTATTGGAAAATCCAGCTGCTTCTTTCATAAAATAGTCCATTTAATTACTCTGATACTTTCCAAAATGGAAATTGGATGAGGTACTTCTTAGTACTGAGATCAGTACAAAGGTCAAAGCAAGATTGATGTTTAATTAGAACAAATTAAACTGTATTAGCTGTATTAATCCATATTCTTGGATTCTATTTAACTCTGAATATCCTGAATATTCTCTAAGCAGAGCTCAAGGGACAAATCCAAACAAGTTTATGTTGCGCAATTCAATCCTGAGCAGCTGGGCTTCTTTTTTGTTTGTTTGTTTGTTGTTGTTTTTACCTGTTCCCCTCCATGCCTTACATTGATCTATTTTTAGTTCTATACACTTTCACATTTCTTGTTGCTGCAGAGGATGGAATAGGGAAATGTAAACTTGTAAATATAAAAGTTACAGATCAAATTGCAACAATTGCTCCAAAAGGTTTTTCTATTGTGACTAACCCCTGTCTCCAGCATTAGGATAGCTACAGTACTCCTTGGGAAGCAAGTGAGGCCCTCCAGAACAGAAGAAACTGAGTCAGTTTATTCTCTATGTAGTTACTATATACAGGAAGACAGATATGTCATGCTTACTTATTGGAGCAATCAACACTTTGTAAAATGCTGAAAAAGAATAGGAAATAGTCAAGGAAGTTAAACACATGCTTTAAGGCATGGAATAAAGGTAGAATATAAGGAAAAGAAAGGTAAAATTTAATCTCCATTAACATCAATTATATTTTCCCATGTCATTCTATCTTTGCAATACATACTTGGTTCCATCACATCCATTTATTGATTCATACACTCTTTCATTTTTAAACTTTTTATCTCTCTTTTCGAATCTCATAAATTTCAACCAACAATTATTTCTCAGTTTTCTTCTTCCTCTTTGACTCAACTCCTTTATTTTTCCTTCATACATTTGATTTCTATTTCTCTGCTCTATTCCCTTTATAGGACCATTCTCAAATCAATATACTTTTTTTCATTTTTGTATCCAAACTACATTCATTGAAGGCCCATATATTTTTCATTTTGTTTCTTTTTGTTTTACTATCTGCTTCTTAAATGTCCCATTCCCACTGCATTCAACGTTTTTTTAATGACATACTGAACTCACTACCATATAACAAAGTGGGCAGAAATATGTTCTTACAGAAGACCATTTTCATTTGTTCAATATTCAGTCTTCACAAGAGATCACAAACTACTAACTACCTTTATACTCCTATTACACATCTTAAAATTTCTCCACTCATTATTTGATCTACCCTTTTCCCAGCCAGCTTGGCTGTCTCAGGAATTCTGGGAGTTGAAGTCCACAGGTTGTAAAAGGCCCACAGTTGCCCATCCCTGCTATATATGCATCCTTTGCAATATTTTCCTCTATTTTCTCTGCCAAACTCAACTACCTTGGTTTTTGATACATTAATTTTCTCATGCAAGCTTGTTGTGTTGTACATTCAATTTTCACTGCAAGCCATTCCATTTTCAGCCAGTTTTTTTTCTTTATTTTGATTATGTATTCCTCTCATTACATTCAGCAATCAATCTTAAATCCCATAATTGCTCAAATTACCCCATAATTCATGCCTTATCATATCCTTTCCTAAATGAACAAACATACAATGAACTTTTTCACATTTACATATATCTAAGTAATCTGCTAAAGAGCAAAAACTATTTAGCACACCTCTCTGCTCAGTATAAATACACACTTATTTTCCAACCTCTGCTTATTGCCACTTCTCATACACATTAAACAGAATTTCGCCAAACACCTTTCTACCTCCTGTAGTTTGTGCATTCAGTTTTACCTTTTTCTCTATTTAGAAAAAACAGCATTTCCCCCCAATTTTTATCAAGCTTTTGTTCTTCATAGGGCTTATTTCGCCTTTTAGTTTTGATCAAAATCAATTTTTAAAATTATTATTGTTATTTTTACTTCCATTCACTCTGCTGGAAGCTTCTTATTTAACTTTCTTGATTCACTTTCAAACAACTTTGTTTCCATTAAAATCCATTTTTTTTAATGTTTCCCCACTGTATTGCTGTTTCTTTATCACTTATAACTTAACTGTTAAGTTTTACTGTAGAAATCATTGATTTCTCTTCAAGTTTTCTTCAGGAATCTTCTTTCACAGCGAACTATGTCAATATGACTAAATGATATTTTTTGATTCTACACTTGTTTTTCA